TGATGTAAATTTGCACAACCTGTTTATGGTCAGTGATGTGAGGAAACAGCACACATCCATGAAGTGTAAGTGTTTTGATGTGCACAAATTATTTGCTTTGATGATAACCTTTATAGCTGCTTTTGCAAGTGCAGAGAACATGACTGGAAACAATGTGATGTGCTGAGATGGGGGATCAGGGCTCTGCATCATAACACTACTGGAGATCCTATTTCCTGAGCTCTCACTGTCCAGAAAGATCATGCTTTCTCTATTGCAGGGCTTGGTGGAGTGTTGTGGCACAGGCTAACCAGCAGCCAGCATCAGATCTGGTCCTGTTTTTGTCTTTGACTGCCATGTGGGATGTGTTACTCTCAAGAGTACAGCTGTGAGATAGAAAGGCACTAATTCTGCAGCTCCTGTTTCGGTTTCTTGTTGAAAAGCAGTGACACTGAGCACAAACATCTTTAGCCTGGAGGGAGGAATCCTTCTCTGCACAGATTTCTGCTCAGATAAGGCTTGAATTTCAGGGCCTCACCAGTAAACTGGTTTAACACAGGATTCGGGGGTTTCTGGTGTTGAGTTATCAGATGTATCTTGCTGAGGTATGAGGTACTCTTGGCTTTCAGGAGGAGTGAGGGTATAGCCTGTAATGCATCCAGAGCTCAAAGGTTTGTCGAGTGAAATGAACTGCAGCAGTGTAGAATGAGGGCAGTTGGTCTCTTGGCTTCCTATTGCTCTGCTTCCTCGGGAGCTTGCTGTCCCACCCAGTGTGCCATCACACAAAGGGACAAGCAGATCAGGTGAACCTGTTCCCATCACCTTTAGCTTTAAGAAGCTCAGCAGTTCTTAGCAGGAAACATACAGGGGACTCTATTTTGAGTCCCTGGTGCATGTGCTACTTGTTTTGTCTATCTCATGCTGAATACTAATCATAATTGCCCATGCCTAGTACCTTCCAGGAGCTTGGATTAGCCTGGCTGAAACTCTGCTACTCTGTGTTGGAATGCCAAATTCAATGGGCTTTTGCCTGTCCCTTTCTCCTTGCAGCTGGGAGGAAAGGAAGACTCAGTGCAGGTTGGAGCACAGTGTTGTAGCCCTCAATGCACTTTCACGAATGAAGTTCAGAAAGGAGCATTTTGAATTATAGGATGTTTTATCCATTATAACGTTCTTGTTCTAATCTCTTTCAGAGGATCTTTCCTCAGTTGCACAATCTCATACTGTCTTACATCCAACATTGTGAGCTTGCCATTGAAAAGGAACTTGATAACTGGATAGGAAAGGAAAAATTGAGTTGTACTTTTAGGCAAATATCTTTCTATGGCGTATGTTTGACCATACAGTTCTTGAGGTCAGTGACACTTCCCATCTAGCTTAAATACTACAGACGATCCAAAACTGAAGTAGCGTTTCCTCCTTGTGTACCTGGTGCCTTGGATGTAAATGCATAAACCATAAAAGACATATGGCACATGCTCATCTGTGTATGAATACCAGAGAGTCTTCTTCTTAAAAGTGGCAGTCATTATGTGTGACTGTAAAATGTAGTCAGATGAGTTGGATAATCCAGATCTGTTGGTCTGAAGCCTTGGACTCGGGCCAGATGACTCTGCATTTTCACTTCTGCCTGTCGGTCCAAGGCCTTAAATTTTAATGGTTCAAAGCAATTCGCTAGTGATCTAAGCCTGCTGTTAACAAATAGAACAGGCATATCTTTCATTTTTTAACCAGCCAGAGTCCAATAAGGATGTAGTCATGCAGCAAGTGCTGTGGAAGGGCTAACAAACAGGGCCTTTTGTTTCCAAACAAAGTGAGCTGGTCTAATGGTCACACTGCTGCTCTGGTTTTGAGACCATTCAGAAAAGAGCTGCATAGTGTTTCTCATGCTGCCTTAAGCTACAGCTGTGGGAGTGATGAGAGCCCAGTAAACATGTGGCAAATCTGCCTTTGTCCCAGTGGTGTGATGCTACTAGGAGAAGAGGCAGTGGTGAAGGAGTTGGTGAGAGGAGGAAGGGCAAGGGAAGAAGGCATTACACGCAACAGTCTGTAATGAGGCAGACATTGGGGGGCATTGGAGGAGATCTGGGCCAGAGCAACAGGACTGATGCTAATGCACTGCACAAGTGCAGTATGTGCCCACAGAGTCTTTTTCTAGGTATAAAGGAAGAGGTAGGGACTGGGACAATGGAGGTTTTGGGCTGTGACTTCAGTGTGTCAACTGTCTAGTCTCTTGCTGCACATCCTGTAGGCCTCAGGGTAAAGAGATCATAAGGATTAATTGGATACTGCTGGTTGCTTTTCCAGTTTTGGGGGTCAGAAAGGGAATTCATAAACCCCTTGACGCCTGTAAAATTCCAATAGAGGGAGTGCCATTCCAAATGGCACAAAGCAACCTAAGAAGCTTTGGTTGTTCCTTACTAAATCAGATGTTTCTTTATTTATTCTTTCCCCGGCTGGCAGCAGGTGCTGTGTGTGACACAGACGTAAGTAAAGACAAACAGGCCTTGCAGCAATCTTATACAAGCTGGCATTTGTTAAGGGTATGGAAGAGGCATTCCAGCAGCTTAGAGAAGCTTAGATAAATTTAAGCTGTGTTTGTAGATGGATTATTTCTATTTCTACTTCTACATAATACAGAATTTAGAGGACTGAAAGAGCTTGGACATGAAACCATAAAGCTTTGGGTAGACCAAGACATCCAGGGCTTAGACCTGTGAGACCTAGTAGCATTATCCACCATATGCCCTTCCATATGAAGGGCAGAATCTGGAGCTGTTTGTCGGGTTTGAGTTGACAAGATGCCTACAAAAACAAATTGGACATGCCTGAGCTTTACATCTCATTTGGGAAGGATAGACCTGGGAGAAAGCAGACGGTCTGAGGTTATCTGCTGTGTGCAAAGAGGGAAGAGAGGCGTTAGTGAGGGCAGAGCTCCGGAGGGAAGAAATTCCTGGTGATGACCGCCGATAATCCACTTGCGAGCATGGTTGAGTGGTGCAGATGATAGTATGGGTTCAGTGGGAGTGCTGGGCAGATCAGCAGTGCCCTGCAATTCCAGATGTCAGAAGGAACCCTCGAAGTCCCTCTGGCCTGTGAGGTGAGAGGGGACAGACCACAGCCTATGATACAGCAGTACAGGATTCATGCTTGCTCCTTGATGGTGAGGAATAGCTACCTCTAGTGGGACGCACGGCATAATTACAGTCAACACTGCTTGAAGCAACCTTGTTAGTGGGTTACCCCATCCCTGCAGTGTTTCCGCTTCAGTTTTAGAGGTGAGCCTTTCTTGAAGTGTTCTTTCTCAAGGGCTTACCTAGAGACTGAAGAAGCAGTTTTTTTCCAAGTTCAGTTATGTTGCTACTGAGCAGAAACGGTTAAAGTACGACTTTATAGGGTTTGCAAAGGAAAGCTGACCTTTAAATACAGCATCCTCCGTTTTCTGTGGCTATTTTGAGCTTTTCATGGCTTTGTCTTACTGTGTGTCAAAAATTTCCAGTCTGACTCCTGTGGAGAGAATGCACATATCCAGAATGATGGTTCATATTATAAATACAGTCGCTGATGCAGTACCTTTAAGCAGTCAGGTTTTATTTAGGTGCTAATACATCTTATGCATTCCTAGTATTAATAGTAACATAGGATTTTGCTTTAATGGTAGATGATATTAAAAGTATCTTTCCTTGATAACATCAATAATATCAACTATTCAGTAACATCAATATTGTATGTATAATATATATATGATGTTCAATAACATCAAAACGCATACAGAACTTTCAAGTTACCTATTAATCCAAGGTCCAGATTCTCATCTGGATATGAGAACATCTCATATGTTAAATATTTACATATATAAGTAGGGCTGCTCCACTTCAGTCCAAGTTTCCTCTAGAATTCTCCACCGGCTTTTCCAATGTATGTGCGTGTGTGCATGGCCATAACACTTAAGATGCCTTAAATCTGTCTCAAGTTTGTTCACCGTAACTGATTTAAGATTCCTTAGGAACTGATGCTGGGTTTGACTTAAATCTGCTTATCGAAAGTTGAATGGAATAAATTAGAGATTAGCCAAGTTTGCAGTATATTTTGTTAAGTAACTGCTTGTCTAACTAAATCTTACATCATGTCTCTGTAAGGGTAAGCTGTGCATGAATGTACTCCTTAAATATAACATCACAGCAGATAGAAAATAAAACACCATCTATCCAGCAGCTGAAGGGAATTAGAGATTAAATCTCATAGTGGAAAACTCCTACTTGTTGATGACTAGAAGAAAGATGGAAAGACTTCAAGTTGTCTTTTATACCTGCTTCAAGCCCTTCCCTAAGCAATGGGGACTGTGTAAGGGCTGACATCTCAGCGCTGAAATTAGCAGCAGACCATTCTGATGTTGTGTGTTGGTTTCCACTTTGGAGTTACCTAGAAATATTTAAATTCCCTTAAATATTGCAACAGCATTTGCATCCTTTACAGTCACTGTCTGTCATGCACTCTGAACAAACATCTGTGTTTGCAGGCAGATGCAGCACTATAAAGGGCCTGTTCACTAACCTGCTGGCAGCTAATGGAGAGCAGGAGAGATGCTGCTGGTGTCTGGAGCATTTTAATTGCTATGAACAGTGATGATGTGCCTTGTGTGACACTGTCCTCTTCTTTCCGTCAGCCTCTCTGGCAGCTGCCTTTGCTGTTTGTTGTTGCTTAGGTTAATGCTGCCTCTCAATTTCAGGCTCCAGCAATGCAGTTCTGAATAGATAAAGAAAATGTTATCAGGACCATGGTAACTTTATTCTGCCTTTTTCAGCTTTCAGCAAAGCTCTAAGCAGCAACAAGGTTACCGGAGCTCTCTGAAAAGAGATTTTGCTACCCTGCATACCCCAAATAACCACAGAAGTGGGTTTTAATAAAAGCATTTAAATACAATTATAGGGAATTTAATAGACTTACAGGAAATGATGGTGACTGGCCAACTTCTTTTACATCCAGATTGAGCCTAATCTGATGTTTTTTCCTCCCTTCAGTTCTTCCCATACATCCTTCTGCTCGTCGCTATCCTGCTGTATCTCCCATGTTTGTTCTGGCGCTTCACTGCAGCACCTCACCTTTCTTCAGACCTCAAATTCATTATGGAAGAACTTGACAAAGCCTATAACAGGGCAATCAAAGCTGCTAATAGCATCCGCAGCGGAGACCCCAGGGACCCTGCTGACTTGGTTCCAGCTGTTAATGAGAACTTAACACAGAGGTAAGGTGCTGGGGCTTGGCTTCTTTGCTCTTTTCCTTAAGCTTTTAACAGATGCGACACTTGCACTCGCTTAGAAATTTATTGCAGAGGTCTGAATGGTGACCTGACACCCTTTTAATCTTGGTTATAAAAAGGAAGACATCTGAAATCACTGTTTGGGTTGAGCTGGAACGTGCAACTTTCTGTTTTCAAAGGCAGTATTTGACAAGCTCTTCAGATCATGTCCTGATTTCTTCAGCTGTAGTAGGTGTTAATTAGTTTTACCCACCACAGCAGAAGAAAATGGGGATGGCTGCAGTACTCAGTTCTCAGTGATCCTGACAGTTGCTTGCATGCTGTGAGCAAAGCCTGTTATTGTCATCTCCTGTCCTTTCTGAACTAGGTCTGCAAGGCTTCAAAATATAAAGCCCCAAAACCAAACCCAACAAAAGCAAAACCCCCCTCTCTGATCAGACTGGTGCACAGTTCTAACCAGATTCAGTTGCTGCTTCATCCTAGGTCAGGGTACCCATTTCTCTTTGCATGTACAAAGCAGTACAAAGCAGAGGCCCAACCAGTGCAACGGGGACTTAGGTCTGTTCTTTAAAATGTAGAGTTATGTCGTGACAATTAATAAGCCTTCCATCGTGCTATTATCAAGCAAGTGCTTGGGAATTCTGCTTTGCCTCATGGCTTTGCTTTTATACCTCTTTTGTACTGGAAAAGAACAAAAATATTTTTTTGCTTCAAAGCAGTATTTTTTCCCTTCTTCCAGTGTTTTGAGCTCTTTTGTCTCTTAATTGCGCTTTCTTTGAGTGTTGTTTTTCTGTATTAGAGTGCTACTTTTCTGTAGTTAGTGACATTTATCTGCTCTTCTGTTGTTTTTCTATTGACTTCAGTAAGATTACCCTTAATGTACCCCAGTAAGATGTATTCCAATCATGTGTCTGTTTTAGAGTACCAGGTTTCTTGGAAATTTGAGGTAGGTGAATGCTGCAGCATCTGATCTATGTGATTTGGGTTTTTTTCCTTCCTCTCTTTTTCAGTTTGTGGGAAATATCCGAAAGCCACTTTAAATACCCGATTGTGGAGCAGTACCTGAAAACAAAGAAGAATTCCAAATGCTTAATAATTAAATACATTACCTGCCGTTTACTCACGCTAATAATTATCTTCATTGCATGCCTCTACCTGGGCTATTACATTAGCCTGTCCTCTTTGAGTGATGAGTTCCTCTGCACTATCAAAACTGGGATCTTAAAGAATGACACAGCTGTTCCAGACGTGGTTCAGTGCAAGCTTATTGCTGTCGGTGTCTTCAAGGTACTCAGCTATATTAACCTGATAATCTACCTTCTAGTGATGCCACTGGTAGTGTATGCAATGTTTGTTCCGTGGAGGTGGAATTCAGGCATTCTCAAAGTGTATGAAATCCTGCCAACTTTCGATGTTCTGAAGCTGAAGTCAAAGTGTTTCGATGACTTAAGCCTTTACCTCCTCTTTCTTGAGGAGAATGTGAGCGAACTTAAATCATTTAAATGCCTCAAAGTGCTGGAGAACATTGCAGTTTCGGAGAAGTTTGATGTCATGCAACTTTTGGTAAACCTCGGCACTATTAAGACAGATACCATAGATGGGAAGCCAGGGACAGCCGTGTTGGAGAAGCCTGAAGAAACAGCTACAGAAGAGCTGGGAAAAAATGCAACAGAGCTACAAGGTAAGGTGCCCTGCTATTCCTTCAAAAAGAAAAACCAAGGAAAGAAACACCACAAAAGCACCACATCCAAACCTTCTGGATAAGGAATCCAGTAAACCAAATATTCAATCATGCAAAACAAAGCAGGTTTCATCTAGATGGGTATTCCTACCAAAACCATTTTAATATCTTCTGTGAGAAAATGGACCTGCTATGTTGTCTGCAGTGTAACTGCTGCAACTTCATGCATGTGCCAGAAGTCAGGGACACAGGCTAGATGCTGAAGTGTCTGTGAAGTTGGTGGTCCTTGCTGCAGTCTCTCCTCTAGCAGTAAAAGGTTTCAGCTATCTGAACTTGAACTCCTTGAGATCACCTGAACAGTAGAAGAGCTCTACATTTGTCACAGTAGGTTGCACTTGAAGAAGCTCCAGTGGTAGAACTGGTAGTTTCATGGACATTTGTTTTTCAGAGATTAGCTCAAAAGAGCAGTAACTGCTGCTTCTGCTTTTCATTCAGGCTTTGGTAGAAATCTCCGCTGGATATAAAATAAGACTGATGCACAGAAATGCCGCTGAGGGAGGAACAGAAAGTGGCAAAGGAAAGGAAGTGGGACTGTGGCCAATGAACATACACCCGTTCCTTCTTACAAAGATTGACTGTGAACTGGATTTTGCCACAATGGTCTGAGTCAGTCTGGGTTGGTGTTCTCTGAATATTCTCACCAGTTCCCAGACGTGATTGACTCTGAGCAATCTCTATATGAGATGTAGTGTTAGGTATCCTGCTAAAAATGTGGCATACCTTAAATGTGATTCCAGTTCCCCCAAGTGCAGAATTAGAGAAGCCAGATACCCAGGGAGAGGCATAAGGGGATGGTAGAGCCTTCTTCCCATTTGTTGTGAGCATGGGCGCTGTTGTGGCTGTCCCCAAAGAGGCAGCAGGATGCCAGTGCTACATCCCCTGGTGGAAGTAGCTTTGACTCTGTGGGCTGCCTCTTCACAACATCTGTCACTCGCTGAAGATCATAGAAGCATAGAATCACAGAATGGTTTGGGTTGGAAAGGACCTTAAGATCATCTAGTTGCAACCCACGTGCCGTGGGCAGGGACACCTCACACTAAACCATGCCACCCAAAAGATGCTTTAAAACTTCCAGCAGCTGACCTGAGTATGTGAGCGGAGTGCTGAGGGCAAGTTAAGGAGCTGCTTCAAAGACAAGAAACAATTAAAGCTGCTTTCTCTTCAGAAAGCTATGCCTTATGCTTTATAAAAGAAGCAGCAGCAGCGCCCAGAGGGTTACTGTTCCTCCATACTTTGCAGCTCCATACAAGCAGCTCTGGTAGGTGTTTGGAGGAGAAGGCAATTTATAAAACAGGGGAATTCAGGACAAGCTAACAGAATTATTTTCAAGCCAGAAGAAGCACTTCTGGCAACAAGCTTTAGTACAGCAATTTGGAGAAACTGACAGAAAGTGGTTTTCATTCTGAATATGACCCTTTCTGAAATGGCAGATGGGTGGGTTTGGTAGGAGGTTTTAAGAGCTTAAAGTGGACATCTCTGCTCAAGGAGCTGAAAAAGCTCATAGAAAATCTGACTCACTTTTACCTGAAAGCAGAAATTCTGAGACAGTTTTCATCTCACAAAACACTTCAGAAACTTGTTTTCCTTCAGAGCAGGACAAACTCGTATTTGGAGCTTTCCCAAAATGCATTGCAGAAAGAAGCTGCTATTTCATGACCAGCTCTGGCTCTTCCTGCCTGGGTACAGCTGCAGACTTCATCACCCATCAGCATACCTTTGCCTGTGGCTCATTGTCTTTTCTTCTGTCATTAGTGGCATCAGCATGGTTTAATTCATAACTGTGTTAACAAACCAGTGCTCTACAGCTCCAGCGCAGTGCAGGACAGCTCACGACACTGTCCTGGTGATAGTTCCTTTGTAAATGAGGATATGTTGAGTGCTTTGATGGCCCTTTCCCTTCTAAAGGTTCCCTTTCTCTCTAGTTTTGACAGACCATGATGCAAGTGCAAACACCAGTCCCAGGGAAGGTAAAAAGCTTCGCCAAAGACTCTTAGACTCTTCATGCTGACTCTTCCCCACCGCAGCAGGCAGGAGCTCCATGCTGCAGGAGTGCTTGTCCTCCACCTGCGCTGTGCTGAACACAAGGTGCTGCTCTTTGGATGCAGCCCTCTCCATGGCCTCACAGTTCCACAGGGGCCAAACTGGTTTACAGACTACTTACGTAATAATCAGCAATCACGCACCTGAAAAAGCATGGTGTGGACTTTCACTGCTTATTGAAAGAAACCAGCCACGAAACACACAACAAGAAATGTCTGTCATGAGAAACAAGTCACATGCATTGAATGCAATCGAAGCTGGCAGCAGGAAAGAGCTAGCACTATACTGTAAGGGAACAGGGACGCGTAACCCTGTAGGTAACAACATGAGATGGCCACTTTGCCTTCTGAAGTGTTGCTCTGCTGGGAGCGACCATCTCAGTTATGGGGTGTAAGTGAAGCATCTTGAGGCTCCCTGCCCTGGATAAGGGGTTTCTTTGTTGGTTTTTAATGACTATGGTTGACCGGTACCAGGTGGTGGCTGGCCTCTGATACTGGCTCTGTCCTCACAGGAGAAATAGACATAGCTCAGTTCAGTCAGATGTCTTGGTTAGCTCAAGTGATGTGTGGGGCTAATTACTTGGCTCTGATAGGAAAGAAACTACAACCAGGGTTAGTATAAGGGGGCACTGTAAATGTTGGTGATTTTGAATTTTTTATGGATTCGTAAATTAATGATGTCTTAACACTTTAATTTTCACAAAATGGAATGATACTTAAGCTAAATGTTTCATTTCTATTTCTCAATTATTTTGGTCTTAGTGGCTAAAATAATCCGCCTTGGAGTTCAAACTGAAGATCAGTGAAGTTGGTTCCATTTTGTGATGGTTTGCACAAGTTTTGTAGCGTTTGTACCTGTGGAATTTGTTTCCATGTGTTTTTAGTATCAAATGCAATATTAGTTACGCTGTTTTCCAAACCCCACTCAAGAAGACAGTCATTTGTATTACAGTAGCACCCGAGTGCCTCAGCAGAGCCAAAATGAGGTAGATGTAAATATGACAAAAGGGTGTTCTCCCCACACGTCCTGTGACTTGATTTTAATCAAGATGCTGAAGTGGATTGGAATGGACAATAGAATGGGAAGCATTGGAAAACTGTCCTGGTTTGCTGTTGGACAGTTCTGGGAGAGCAGCATTCAGTTTTCATGTCTTCCCTCTGCCCAGGATCTCTACCTTCAGTGAACAGTAAAATGAGCTTTGTCTTGACTTTTGGATACAAAGGTGGGGATGGGGGTTCTGTATTGTCCATGTAATGTTTTACCTGCCACCTCTTCAGAGTTGTCTTTTTAGACACACTAGCCCCTCTTTTATAGCTAGGTAGGAGCTCCATTTTCTGGTTCATCTGTGTCACCTGCTGTTGTGTTCTCAACTGTCAACATCCTCCATATGGCTGAGGATGAGGGGGGGAAAGAAGTAATTGGTGCTACCATCTCTGCACAGAAGTGTTTATGTGCTGCAGCAGATTTCAAAGAGGTAGTGTACCTACTTGGATTTGGCAGCCACTGTTAAAGTGGATCCCAAAGTGCTGTCATACCGTAGCTTCAGTGAGCGTTACAAGAACTCTTCAGTTATTATATGGCTTTCAAATAAGACAAACCTTACTTAAAAGAGAGCCTTAAAAGCCATAGTATTACGCTACCTCTGCACAGGACAGTAGCAGAGCTGCAGTCCTGATGTCTGTTGCATTACCAGCAAGAAACAGGGCTTGTGTTGGACACTGGTGGTCCAAAGGGCTCAATTTTACTGCCATATTTCTCCCAGCAAAGCTTCAACCCCTCTGACCTTTACTAGGTTGTTTCTGCCTGGCTGTGCTGTGATGCTGATGGTCCTCTATATGTGGGTAATGCAGATGCATGTTGTGCACTGTGTGTTTTGAACAAGGAGCTATAGTGCAATACTAGGGGGTTGTGATGTGGATGTGTTAGAAGGGTTTGATGTAAGCAGAGTTCTCAGTCTCTAAACCTCAAAATTCCTGAAGGCAACGTGTTCATCTTTGCTGTTGGATATGAGCCTAACTTTTTACTGATTTCCCTTTTGTATTTAAAGATATGACTTGCTGCAGTGAATCTCTTGTTGTCTTGTAAAGCACTCAATAAAATTTGTATCCATTCTTCTTGGTTATTTAAATAAAGTCAATTTTGTGAACTACAGCAGTGTGACTGAAGGTTACAAGAACAGTTGCAAGTTGCTATCTGAAAACCCATCATGCAATACCTGTGATCTGATGCTAAACCCTGAGCAAGCTTTTTGGACAGTTATAATGTTTTCTTTTAATTTTTGCTCTCATAAAATTGTCAGAGCACCATGAATTGGTTCAAAATCTATTCAGCCTTTAAAAACTGTTGAGAAAACATCAGCATGTGGTAAATAGACCATCCAGTGTGTGAATTACTGTCTATAAATAGGCCACAGTCTCAGCATGATTGAGCTTTTCATCTGTATCTTGGTAGTTTAAGATGTGTTTTCGCACCTGCCCAGCTCAGTTCTACTTAGATTTTAGTGACACTGCTCCCAAACCTAGAGCCCCATTTAATGACCCTGCAAGCAAAGGATGTCCTGGCTGCTCTTTGAGAACATGAAGATAGAGATCAGGTCATGAGTGGTTTTCTGAAGGTGGAGGTGTGTCATGTTAAAAGGGGGCTTCCTCAAACCCTTTTTATTTGATCAGCATGTCAGTGTCCCAGGGAAGACCCTTGTGTCCAACCAGCCTGTGTCCCATTGTGGGAACCCTACTGCACAGCCCACTGTAGCAGAGGGTGATTTGACGAACCCATTCAGCCTGGTGAACCATGGTGTGGTAGCTTCCATGCATGGAGGTACCAACTGCATTTCACACTGAAAAGGTTTCCTTAGTGCTACGACGTCTATTAGGCCCCAGTTTTCTCTAATTTCCCCTTCATCCCCAGTGATCTTCCTGCAGAGGTGGGAAAACTTCCACACTTATGATTCCTTCCCTGCCCAACTTAGACTCCTCAGGCTTCAAAACCTGAATTGTGTAAATCCTTGTAAGGGATCCAAAGGGGCCATGTATCACATATTCTAATGATGCTAAAGAAAACTCTGCACTGTGCATAAAAAACAGATGTCTCCATTGAATGGCTTCTGCTATATGAAATGCACTATATCTGCTACGGTACTGAAGGAAATTAGGAGTAGTTTGGACTTTACATTTTTTCTGCACCAAGGCTTGTACTGTAGACTTGCTTTCAAAGGCTCACAGGAGCAGCCTTGTTTCTAACCTATGGATCAAAGCAGTTATTGTATTTCAAAAAGTGGGTGAAGTGTTCTGTCTTCTTAAGGAAGTTTGCAATTCCACTTTAATGAAGTTTAGACTATCTTCACCTCAGTAAGTGGCTGTCATCACTACACAGGTGTTTTCATGCTGCTGTGACATTGCCCCAAGAGCTGGATCAGTACAAACAGGACAAGAACGGATGAAACAACTCAACAGTGATTACTTCCAATGTCTGTGTTGTGCTTAATGCCTCCAGTAAGGCTCTTACTGATGTGCCTGATGTTTACTCCTAGCATAAAACAGCATGCTAGGAGCACAAGGTAACCCTCACACTGTGAAGTACACCAAAGAATTAGGCTCTGATTCAGGAATACTCTTTGTTCTCAAGAGCTTTGAAAGGGTCTAGGGTTTGTGGGTTTCTTATTGGTGGTACCAAGGAGATGAGGAAACAAAGGAACACAGCTTCCTGCTCAGGACCAAGAAACACTACAGAGGGGACCTGCCAGATGAACACACCAAAACCACTTCTTGCCTTGTAAAAAGACTGTAAAGAATGATCTGTTGGGAGACCTTATGTAGCCTGTTTGGTCAATGGCCCACTCAGGAGACTTCTTGCCTCAGGGTGATGGGGTAGGGTCACCTAAGTGATGAATAAAGCAAAATCCTGGTGGAAATCAGTAGGGCGATGGCTGAAGCAGCAGAAGTGCCCTGGAAAGGACAACACTGGGGCAGAGGGGACAGAGCTTTCGTGGTGGCAGAATGTCCTACATGTGTGCAATTAGCAAAAGTACTGGTCTATCAAATGGCCTAATGTAGAATAAGACATGAAGACGCTGTTGTTCAGAAGTGCAGCCAGCACAAAGTAAATATCCACATTAAAAACAAGGCAAACAACACCTCCATGGTGCTTTTCATTCACCACTAAAGACCCTTTTGTCCACAAACCCCACAGTCTTGCAGAACAGCATACCCTTAACTGAGGCATTTCCAGATGCAATGGGACCTCAGACAGGAGCTACTTCCAGAGGAGTCTCACGTGAGTACTTTTACCAACCACAGTTCCTACAGCACATGTTCCAGCAAACAGGACTTACAGAAGATATCCTAAGGACAGTCAGGTTGACAATCCATCTATCCTGATATCTTGTCTTTCAGCGCGGTCAACAGTAGCTACCTAGGGGACAAGAGTAGGTATAGGTAAAGCAGTGGTAGCTAATGGCCAAGCATATAGCCGTTCTTTCCCAGAATAGTGCCACCACTACTATTAAACTTTCATATATGATAGTTGCTGGTAGGTTTTACTTCCAGAAATTTCACCACTTCCTTTGGGAAACCATGAAAACTTTCAAGACCCATAATTCCTAAAAGCAAGGAACTCCACAGCTTGATTAAATGTCATGCAAAGAACTATTTCCTTGGGTGTTTCCCGATCAGTTAACACCTCGCTGGCCTGAACTAAACTCCATTTCTACCAATTCAAATCAGCAGCACCAAGAAAATCAGCTGAGGTGACCCTTTCCCCATGCTTTAGTGTCCTAGAACACGCTATTCAGATACTGCGGGTACTTTCCACCAGTGAGAGTCTCTTACACCTTTACTAAGCCCACTCAGCACCAATCTGCCGGGTTCTTGCTTTGTGAAGGTTTAATTAAAGCTCACTGGAATGCCCTCAGCAGGAATTTCTAATAACTCAAAGTCAACATTTCTGCAGCGCTGTTACTGAATCTATCAATGGAATTTTATGAAGGATCCACCTGTTTCCAAAGGCTGTTAAATTAAAGCTGAAATTAAAAAGATTGTTTGTCCTTCATTCTAGCCAGCAGGGAAATAGAGTCAGAAATCAGAGCCTTGCAGCGCTCTTTTAGCTTGAAGTCCTGTGAATGCTCACACTGAAGCGCCAGCCTTCCCTGAAAACAATGAGGACTTCATCACTACTTGGAGAGGAGCTCTGCTTCACTGGTACTCTTGTT